GAAGGACCGAATAACACACAGACCGATCACCACATGGGTCGAGCCTACATAAGATCGAGCCCGACCATAGGCTAACAGAACAACATAAGAGGGACACAAAGCAAACAGAGCAAAGGTGCGTCACTAAATACCTATGGTGTCAGCCAAAGGTTCCTTCACGGTAGTCAAACCGGCAAAATACGGAGACTCACATCCGCCGAGAGGCCCACCGCATCGACCGGGTGCTTGTTCCAATCCTCCACGATCGACCTCCATAGGGGATTAGCCTTGGGTCGAGGTTTCGTGCGTTGAGACAATTTCTCGTGCCTCCAAATCGAGGAGAACGCAAAGGTATTAGCGGGAGGGTGGATAAAAAAGAACTTCGTCCTCCAGGCAGGGATATTCGAAGGTAACTTCGTGATAAAATGGGCACCAATACGGGGACTAACGTAGTGAGAACGGGTATCTTCCTTAAAATTTAACCCATAGCTATAGAAGAATAAACCGGGATCGAGCCTTCGCAAACGAGCTCAACTCAATATGACGAAGCAAATCATAACGCGAATGGTGTTGGGAGGAAGCTGATTGAGAGCAATATTATTAAACACATTACATAAAGAGAGAAGGTCACGAAGATCGGAGAAGCGTAAGCCGAGACGGATTTGGTCTTTGAAAAAGGTGAAGCACCCATCCGGAGGATTGTCGTAAGAGTTGGAAGGCTGAGGAACAATAAACCCCCAACCTTCAGGTAGCTCGCACATCGCCTTGAATTGAGCGATCTCGCTCAATGAAGCGCGAAAGAAGGGGTTAACCCTACGCTTCGGAGGAACGGTTTGTGAAGCGCATTGACTAGGATGACTAGAATGAGCAGAGGGTGAATCGGGAAGAGAATCGGGAACCACGGAGGCAGAAAGACCGTGGGAAACCGGGGCAGAACCCTCGGGAAAATCTAAATCGAGCCCACCTAGACTGATTGGTCCGTCCGGGATAGTGTCAACAAAACCTTGGAGCTCGCCCCAACTAATTTTACCTTCGGGCTGGTCAACTAAGAAAGGCACGTGGGTTTCGGCCAAGGGCTCGAATGAGAACTCTGCGAGTTCCGTAAGGCCTGGGCAATGACCGTCAAGACTAGTAGAGTGACGGATGGGCTCAGAAACGGATGACTGATCGATGTCGTCAACGCTATGACGTGAAGTTGATGGACCCACGAAAGCACCTACACCCAAAGATCGAGTAGAGGTCCCATCGGGTATACTAACAGGCTCAGAAGATCGATTTCCGGCAGCCACAAAGGACTTGCCCGCTCGCCTATCAACACAACCCAAATCAGGACCTCGGTCGGTGCCCGATGAACAAGACATCGTCGAAAAAAAAAAAACAACAACAAGAAGAAGAAGAGGACGGCGACTCAGCTTACGATCGGAAGAGACTAATGAAACCCATTAATAGTAGGTTGGCCTACACCGTGCGGAAGTACATTTAATTCGCGGGTCGGTATTTTTCTTATCTAAGAATTTGATAGCGCCGCCGACAAGCAAGAAAAGAGAAAAGAACAAAGACAAAGAAAAATGAGAAACCAAGAAAAACTCAAGAGAACGTACCCATCGAATTGATTGGAGCTATGAGACGTACGGACTAATTCGAGTCGTTGGCCGGAACTCCTTGGCCAAAAATCCGAGCACGCCGTTGAGGGCAGGAGAAAAGATAAAAAAAAAAACCCTAGGAAGAAGAAATTAAAATAGAAGTCAAAGGAGAGCAATAAGTTACTTAGAGCTGAGGAATATTTTCACTGAATTGATAAGAAAGCTGAACACCGCACAGCTTTGGTTCGAATCGGAGGGCAAGGATAGATCGAATTTCTCGTAGAAGAACGAGCAGATCGAAACTTGGGGGTTGATCCTATTGTAGGCAGCCGAGCTCGTCAAAATTCCTAAAGAAAGATAGCAGATCAAGCCCTGTTGTTTGTGGATCGATCCCACTAAGACTTTTAAATCACAAATCGAACCTCGACATGAATAAATAGCAGATCGGGCCTCGACATTTCTACACAGGCAAGCCCTATTGTTCGTAGATCGAGCCCACTAAGATTTCTAAATGGAGCGAGCCCCGAAATGCCTGCATAAAAAGAGTTAGGAGATCCCTTCCTAAAATCTGAAGCAATTTTACCCGCGACCGATAAGGGAGCTAGAAATTGTACGGCTTATATTTGGTCAAAGGATCGATCTTCTATTTATGAGGACCGACCATATTATCGAGGCAAANTTGCAAAAAAAAAAAAAAACAAAAAAAAAGAGAGAGAGGAAAGTCGAGGCTGTTAGGAGGATCGACCATAGAATCGAGGCTCACCAAATGAGCTGGAGCTAATAATGATGCCACTACTAAGAATAACATCCACATGAGGCTATTGATATATTTAATTGAAGTTATTATGAATTGTTTATCTCACTTGAAGCCATCATGATGGAATCTCATCTACGTGGCCTAGTATATGTGGGGAGGACCAAACACATGGCATCTACGGATAAGATCGATCTCTCGAATGAGCCAAGTCAAAAAAAAAAAAAAAGGGGAGAAACGAAAAGAAAAATAAAACCCACCTATATTTATGACCCCACGGAAAAATCCGTGCATTCATAAATAGGGGGGAATAGTTGATAGGGAACCATAAACCGTCGCAACCAAACCGGTTTAGATAGAACAAGAGACCCGTACAGACAAGCCTGGATCGATCCTATAGCATGGTCGATCTCATAGGCTCGACCCCCGACTAATATGTGATCGAGCTATAAGGCTCGATCCCTAGCCTTGCATGATCGAGCTCTGAGGCTCGATCCCCGGACTTGTATGTAAATAATATTTCAAGATATCCACGCATGGGATTACACCTATATATACGTATTGAAACATTAATTGTGAAGTTAAGTGACATTTATTATTCAACAACCAAAACACCATTACTGTTCATCTTATTCCCTACTCATCTCCCAAATACTAACTTAAGCTTTGGAGGGTTTTACGCCGGAAAACCTCCGGCGTACTTTGCAGGTATTCACGAGCTCCATCGCAGACTAGAAACCGGGGAGAGAAAGACGCACCCTTGAGCCAAGAACCGTCCTGAACCGGAGCTGCTTACCCGGAACCTTATCACAGAGAACATAAACTACAGACGAACTAGAAATAAAGAAACTAAACAAGACTCAAAGCACTAAAAAATAGAAGGGATGAGAACCAAACAGGGTTGGCCTAGAAGTAAATGAGGGACTAGGAGTTAATCCATTGGGCAGTATAAAATACCTGAGGCCCTGTGATGTATCCTTAGTCAAACAAATAACATTCTAGCTATTGAGAGGATTTGCCACTACTAATGACAACTAGAGAAAGAATCTAAAAAAGTCCCTTCTTCTCTCTTTACGAATCCCCAAATCAAGTCCATTGTGCCCTAGTCGTATTTCTTCCCCGAGTGTAACTCCTCTCCGACCTAGTCCTGGTGTTTCGGACGAGCATCTGGCTCGCCCTGGGCTTGACAGTGCGGCTGTGGCAGTCTCATGCTTCTCTCTCTACAAAATTGTCTCGCTCTCATCCCGAGTGCCATGGCAGACGAGTAGATACGAAAGCGTCGGCAGCTGTGTCCGGTGGACGCTGGGGGTGTCCTAGTGGCGGTCTAACTTGGTTCCAGCTGCCGACGGACGCTGGGGGTGTCCTAGTGGCGGTCTCTCCCTAGTGTTGGGAAGGTTCAGTCCTCCGGCGCCAGTTGCGCGGTAGCGTGTCGGCTCCGGTATATGAGTGGAGGGCTGTGGAGTAGACTGGCCTGGGTGGGTCTGCGAAGTTCTGGGAGCAGTTGTCGAATCTGCGTTCGGTTCTAGATATCCATTGGGGACATTTTTGGTTCTGCTTTGTTCGGTTATAGTTCTTGTCGCCTCTTTTTGGTGGTTCGCGTTTGGGTGTTAGCTTGGATTGTGTTGGCGCTGGGTGTGTGACAAATAAAAAGACAAAGGTACTTCATTAACAAAAAAACGAAGTCATTACAAAAGCCCAAGCTTGGGCAGATTAGTTACATAAAAAGATAAAAGAAAAAGAAGAAAAGAGACTACGGAACAGATAAGATCCCCTCCTTGCCAGACTGTGATAGGACAGTATCCCAGCCCATATGTCGCTTATGAAACAGAGAAGATCCCTTCCTCGCTAGACTGTGAATAGGACAGTATCCCAACCCATATGTCGCTTGACCGCCATCAGAGTAGACTCCCACAAGGCGTGGTGGCGAGGTTCATCTGGTTACCTTCCCAGCCACTAGGGTCCGAGAGGCTTTGCCACAACTTGTCATCGTCAAAGTCTCTGGTATAGCCCCTGGCATTAGCAACAACCTAACCCTTAGATCGTTGGATAACGATCTCCAGATACTGTCGGGCGGCTAGCACCAACAACTGAAGGGGCTCCTTTGAGTTCTTAAAGCAGACCAGAAGGACTTGACGGTAACGCTCTAGAAAGCTCTTCCTCAGGCCGGAGGTAGGAAGGAAGTCAGGTTGTCCTCACGTGCTTTGGCCTCACTTTCGGCCCATGAAGTGACTAGCTGACTCAGTTGAGCCTACAACTGAGACGCAACCTCCACCCTAGCTTAGAGCCCGACAAGCTCCGTCTGAAGAGCGTACAACTCGGCCCTTAAAGCTTTAGCCTCTTTGTCAACCTTGGTGGAGGCGGCCTTCAACTTAGCCCACTTGTGGTCAAATGCTTGCTCACGGGCAGTTAGCTCAGCTTTTAGCGTTTATTCTCAGCAACAAGGTCCTCGCCAAAGACTCCTCATCCAAATGTGGGGTAAGTCCAAACAAAACTTGAAAAAACATCAAATAGTAAAAAGAGTACAAAAACGAAGGACCACGAAGTAAGAGGTAGCAATAAAGTGTTATGTAGTTATTTGTACCTGAAGAGTGTGCGAAAGCACATGTGTAGCCCGAGAAGCCTGGTCGCCCCGCCATCGGTCTGTTTCCCTTTCATGGAAAATAGACAGTAAGTACACCAACTGAATGCCCACATCATTGGAGATCGTCAGCTTGTCTGGCATCTCTAACACAGCAGCTACAGGGACATCAGCCGCTTTAGGCTTCGGAAGGACCTCAACCACCCCAGGCTTCAGAGATACGCCAACGATCTTTCGTTTCTCCGAATGTGGTTTCTTCATTGGAGTTTTGCCTTATATGCCACTGAAGTTCGGCATCAGTGGCGGTGTTAGAACGGTTCTCGGTTGGAATGGAGGTAGGCTGACAAAGAACATCAACTGAAGCAGGGCCTGTCACCTCTACGGGTCACATGTTGATCTCGCTTCATTTGTATCGTCACATTTTCTTTCTTAGGTGTTGTCTGAGTGTAGTGATCCTCATCAATTTCCCCAGAATTGGTCGCAGAGGACTACAGTGGCTTGCCCTAGGGAATTGAGCTCAATCGTGCCTTCTTTAGCATGACATATACAAGGAAAAATTGAAAAGGAGATTATATTGGTTATTAGTAAAAAAAAAAAATAGATAGAAAAGTACGAAGAAGAAAAAAGCACTAATAATCGAAGAAGTACCTAAGTCATAATGGCGTGAGCAGAGTAACGAGGATAAATCACTGTGTGATCTCAAGTCACGGTCGTCAGTGAAGAGGATGAGGACGTAGAGAGTTTTGTTCAGATCGATGACAAGGTCTCTATATGCCTGGTTTGATTTGGTGGGCTTGCGTTGTTCAGGAAATCCACTCAGGAGAAAAGTCAAAAGTACCTCGGAGAGGCTTTATGAAGAAGTATTTGGCCTGCCACTTAGGATTTCTAGAGGGCAGATTGTCAAGGAAGTTCATATTACGACGATGAGATAAATAGAATGAGACTGTTGGGTGTTTCATCCAGAAACAGTAAAAGAAGAAGTATGGATCAAAAGATTGAAGGATGCAACGACTAATGATGCAATAGCCCACCATAAAGTGAATGACGTTGGGAGCAACATTGTTGAGAGGGATTTTGTAGAGCTGGCTTAGCTCTAAAAGATCAGACCTCAAAAGGAAAATCAAACCAGCATATACTTGGTCTGCAGAAAAGACGTAAAAGCCCTCGAGTGGCTTGGGAAATGAATCCCCAGCCCTGGGAAGCCGAAGCTCCCAAGAAGCTTCCCAGGATTAGGGATACTCGCCTGAATGTTTGAAGTATTCTAGTTCAGTGTCTGACCAGATGTGTAAAGGAATAGGTCTTGCAAACTTGACTAGATTAGGGGAAAGTATGGCCTGAGCGACTTTGGCGATGGTCAACTCGGTAGGCTAGTGTGAAGATATAGGGATAGCGGCCAAAGGAGTGGATTGAAGGATTTCATAGTTTTCCATCATGGTATTTAAAGGTTTTTTAAGAAGAAGTTGATGATCACAATGACATGGGAAGAGATGAGAAACAAAGCTAAAGAATGACCTCAGTAGTTTTTGAAAAAGAATAAAGGGACAGAGATATGCGGATCAATGTTTCAAAGAAAAAAAATTGAAAATTGATGAGTATTACTTAAAGAAGAAAGGAATGAAGGCTTATGAAAGATTGTTATAAGCCGCAGTAGGGAGGACAAATTTGACTGTTAGAAGGCGCATACATCAAGGGTTCAGATTTGCACACAGAATATGATAAGACGCGTCCACGTGTACATTGTACTAAAGGTGGGAATCTAAGCATGTAAAAGGTCTATTTTTGGCATCTCGTGCTCTTCCAGGATTTTTTGATAATGCATTGAGTGAGAAGGAAGTCCAAATGCAAAGGCTAAAATAGAAAAGTCCATTTCCGCACGAGTCCGGTTAAGCTCGTTCTGACATGGGGGGAGGGAGGACTAGATGATGTAGCACTCAGAATAAGCTCGGTAGACCGACTTGAGCAGGAATCTCGATTGGGCTAGTCTAGGAGAATTCTAGCATAATCTGAGATAGGTTATTCGGTCAAGTAGCTCGTATGTGCTTAAGGTACCGACCAACCTGGTGAAATACGACTTGGGGGTATCGACCTCCAGCAGCCCGACGATACAGTCGACCTCGAGGTATCGAGGTCGTGTGGTTTGAGGACAAGTTTGACCTAGGCCATAGCAGACAGGTTAATAGGTCGGGGTTACGACGTAAGGATCTATGGGCTGAACAGTAAAGGGAGAAAGAATCTTAGTATAAAGGAAAGAATCACTTGCTCAAGGACTCTTGCCCAGATAGAGATGTGGTAAGTTAGGAAGTAAGATCTGGTTGGATTTCTTCTTAATAAGGACTCTCTTGGGAACCAATATATCTGCCCTATATAAGGGTGATAGGTTCTTCTTCATCTCAAATCACCTTCTATGCCTTTACTTGCATAATTTTTATATACAGTAATTGAGCGAGTTTTGACTTGCGTTGGAGGCTTTTCAGCCGGGACCCCCTTTCGGCATATTGCAGGTCATTGGAACTCAAAGACGAAGGTCGTTCAAGGCGTAGGCGTCCAAATCAGTTCGTGACAAAAAGTGGCGCAACACACTACATCACTATAGTGGTGAAGGACTACTATGTTCCTAAACGATCTGAGGTGTCTTGACGGGTCTGTCGAGCCATCATAGTATAAACTAAGCTCGCGGAAATTGTTGTGCAAGTCAGCCTCCAAGACCTTATTAGCAAAAAAATGGTCGTAGATTCGAGGTGCTACCATGCCCTCGACTCAGGCCTATAACTCTCGCAATTGGGCTACTAATCTCTCGATGGTAGTATCCCGAGTTGTCCTAGATATAGTAATATATCGAGAGCTTTTTGTCGCTGTCTCTGGAATTCGATGCCATAGCCAAAACCATAAAGTCCTTTTTCTCAGTGGGGCTCCTGAGGAGACGAGCTTCTCAGCCATGGAGTTTCAAACTGTCCAATTTCCTTAATTTCTCTCGAGAAATGGCCGCAACCGCACTAATACCCAGGCTATCACTGCAGTCCTTTCAATATCCAGTCTTGCTCCACCACCATGGCCACCACATGTTGTCGCTCTTCTAGGGTTTGATGGTTGGACAGAGAGTTGCCAGCAGCAGACAACCATCTCCAGAGGCTACTGGCTGGAATATCCCGGATGAGAGCACCAGTTGCCACAAATGGGGGATACCACCTGCTCAATTTTTTGGCAGCGGCGACAGCGTCGCTGGAGCTGCATCAGCTTTTAGACCAGAACTAGATTTTTGCAGCATACTACCGTGGAGCAATAGGTATATTATTGGTCTATGATGTCACGAATGAGTCATCTTTCAGCAGTAATTTCTCTTTCACTTGAGTCATTCTACTTGCTTATCTTCTTTAGAGGTTAAATCTTCTATTTGTTGTTCTTTAATGTTTTCCGTACCTATCATGTAGCCTGCTTTATTATGTAATAATTTTACATCAATTATGTTTTATAAAAATTGACTTTATTTTCTTCTCAAACATCAAAAAGTTGATCAAAAACATCGAACAACATGCTTCTGACAATGTCAACAAGATACTCGTGGAGAACAAAGCTGACATGGATGAAAGTAGAAGAGTATGTTTTATTGTGTAATAATTTACTTCTCATATTGCTTAATTTTATCCACTTTAGTCTTTAACAGAAATGAACTTCCACCGGCTGTTCCTACCTCGAAAAGTCGAGCGCTTCCTGATGAATATGGAATCAAGATTTTCAAGACCGTAGGCTGCATATATTGGATATTTAATTTTCGTCGGTTATCTTTATTAATTAAAAAAATATCAAAATGATGCGGTTTGAATATTATCATCATGTCAAACAAAGTGCTAAGACAAACATGAATGTGGAGGAGGTCTTTTTCTCAATTGCCAGGGACATCAAGAAAGACTAGCTGAGACCGACTCCAAGACTGAGGTATCAAGTGTTAATTATACAGGATAATAACAAAAAAGTGGAAAAAAAAAAACTATCAATTGTTGCACGACTTTTTTTTCCAAGTCATTTGGAACGAAAATGGGAGGTGGCTTCTGTGAGTCCAAAGGGAAGCTTTTGGAGCGTGAATGGGAGGGAGAGGCCCCAAGACGGCAGGTATTATGCGGATGGTTATGGCGACGTATTATGTTTGGTTACTTAAAGTTCTTAACTTTCCTTGCATAACATGTTTATATGTTCATAAATTACTGTTGGGTGAGCTTTTAACCTAAATATTTAAGGGTATTTGAGTTTGTATACATGGCTAATGGAAGTTATCATGTAACTCAAATCAAGGAACACAAAACTGCAGTATGTACTTAGTCTATTGATGTAAATTTTTTGGCGGCTTGATCAAATGGAACCGTGTTCAATCTTTCCCTTTTTGGCTTAATATCTACAACTATTTTCTAGAGATGTTATTAGATGGTTTTCAAGTCCATGGGGAGCTATTGCTTGGAGTTATCTTATATATGTTGCTTGTTTTTCCTTTATTTGCTTGGTAAAACTTCTGTCTTGATGTATATTTTTGTATATTTTTCAAGAAAATGTAATGTTGTAAAATGAATGTTTTGAATATTTAATGATGAGAATTCATGGTGCGGGTAATTCTCAAAAATATGATTATTGTGAGTAGATGTCCATGTATTTAAAGGAATGAAATTATCCAAGAAGTTGAGATTTATATATACATTATAGTTGTTTCGAGTACTTGCCAGTACATTGTGTGTGGCATAGTGAGAGAGGTTATGTAATATGTAAATGTTGCTCTATTTATGTTTTTGTTGTTTTGTGTTGTGTCCAGATTTTAGAATTTGTGTGTTTCATGCTTGGAAAATGAATAACTTGTTGCTCGGCTTTGTTTTTCAAGGCATTTGGAGCGAAATGGGAGGAAGAGGCCCTAGGGAGCCGCATATGGGTACATGAATTACCCGCCGTAGGGGTCGTACAAGCATCCTAAGAAGAACACGGCGGGATGGGGGCCATGTTGGGGTAGGATTGGGGGCTGGGCTGCCGGAGGTTTACTGATCAAGGAGATGGCGTTAGATGTCAGAAACGCGACTGTTTATGCAAATTGGTACGACGACATCATGAATGACATAGGCAGCGACTTTGATTTCTAGATTTTTACTCTTTTTCTTTTTTCTTCATTTTCTCTTTTCCATGCAAATTGATTATATTATTTGGTGATATGTGATGATCTACTATGAAAGAGATGAAGATATTATTTTAATTATGTAATGCACGATCTATTTTACTTTTTTTTTAATGTTTTATACATATAAGATTAATAACAATAATTTGAGTTCATACGAGAAAGAGNGATTTCTTCTGGAAAATTGGTATACTCTGTGTTGATTTTACTTTGTTGGGTCCTTAATTATTACGTACACAATTGCACATTAGTTTCTTTAGTCCTTAATTATTACATACACAATAGTCAATTGAATGTTATACTATACCTATATCTATTAATTTATATATCTATTAATATATTATAAGGTAAAAAATTAACCTAAAATAGTAACCAAATTTTCGCCTAAATAATTCAGAATTACTGAATTTGGATTATTATTTTTTTTATTATTTTGAATGATCCTGCTTTTATTTGAGCTTGAAATCCAAAAATTCAAAATATTTTTATCCAATAACACTGATTCATTTTGCATTTATCTAATTAAGAACCATACATATACGATATATATGTGGATTGTTCATATAAATTTTGGTATATAATAATTTCATACAACGCCGTTTCTCATGTCTAAATAAAATTAAACTATTTAACGATATTGAATTCTACAATTGCACGGAAATTGAATATTACTAATCATTTTTTTCATCAAATATTCGGCCATTTTCATCTCATTTCCGAATTAAAAATTTTAATAATCGAAGATAACATAAGATACAAAGCCGGAATATTAAATGTCTAATGATAATTCCATATATGTGGATTCTTCATATAATATATGGTAGACGAAAATTAAATATTATCCTGTTTATCACGTAAGAAGTTAAACTAAACTATTTAACAATATTGAATCCTACATTTACACGAAAATAATACAATTTGAGAATGTTCAAAATATGCTGATGTTACTTATAACTTTTTCATCAAATATTCGGAAATTTTCATTCATCTATCATTATATTAAAAGATTAACCATTTATCAAATTTTGTAAGAAGAAAAGTCAAACAATAATTATTGCATTCTATTTTTGGCAATTTTTCAATTTTCTTTTTATTTTATTGCAAAAAAAGCGAACTATCATGAATGCATTCTAAATTCGTCTGTTGATTAATTTTCTTTTTAATTAATTACTAGAAAATCGGTAAACCACAACTGCATCCTATATGAGTTTTGTGAATGAGGTACTTTCGGGTATTGTTCACGATTTTGTAGATTCCAAAAGTTCCTGAGGGAGATCTTATTGCATAGAAAATCTGTTCTCATTTTGAACTTAAAATTTAAAATTTTTAAAATCGGACTCAACAAAAATTTTGAATTAGGCAAAATACAATAACATCTTTTTCTATAAATCAAAAATTAAATATATATTTATAATTTTGTCGAATTCAAAATTCCATTTCATTATTCTTTAGAAAAAACTGATCGCATCTAATATCAAGTATCATTTCAAATTTAAATTTAAAATTTTTTATTCCTTATCATTTGGTTGCCAAAAAAATCGGGTTGAATACAAAATTTGAATTAGGCAAAATGAAATTACATATTTTTACATAAATTTAATTTAAAGTAGACCAAATTCGAATTGAAAATTTAAATTATAAGATCCCCTAGGATTTGGTTGCAACAAAATCGGATATAATGAAAAAATTCTACTGGACAATCAAATCAACAATTTTTTTGTTAAAAATCGCAACAAATCTTGAATCTAACATAAAACAATTTCATTACTTTTAAAAAGTTATTAATTTTCAAAGGTTTGGACTCTTTCAATTTAATAATACCAAAATTTCAGATTTCAAATGCTATGAGTTCGAAATTATGTTTTTTCGAAACCGATAATCCTATTTTGGAAATAGATACAATCTTTATTTTGGAAACCGCTAATATTATATTTTTCAATTTGACATGTATTTCATAAATTACACTTTTTTAAAATTTTGACTTATTTTGTTTAAATTTCGTGATTTCGAATTTGAAATCTTCTGTTGGAGTAATTTGTAATTACTAATATTTTTTATACTTTTAAACATATTTCTCGAGTATTTTTAATGCATTCTATAGATTAAATTATATGTATATGTTAAATTTAAATATCCTTAGACATGTTTTGGTTACAAAATAATTTAGAAAAATTTTAGGTGAATTCAAATTTTTTTAAGAATAATATGTAATATTTTACATAATCTTATATATGTTATATAATATTTTAGGTATTTTTAATATTTTAAACATGCATGTTTTATGTTATCTTAGACAAGATAATTTTTTATATAGTAAATGGTATCCCATGTTAGCTCCATTTAATTATTTATAATTATTATTCAATATTGTTTACTCACTCATTAATTTATAATTATTATGTTATATAGTTTACCCGTGCATCACACGGGCTATGCACTAGTTGATATTTATCCGCATTACAAATTTTACTAAATCGACGGTAAACTCGACTTTAGAAATGGTTAGTACTAATGTAAAAAAATCTTCATGCCCATATTAATAACTCATCTATTATTGTTTTACTAATTTGTGACTTTTTTTTTTATTTGATTTGAAATCGTGATATATTAAATATTTGGTCATTGACATTAATTACGCCATGTATATGTGATCTCCAATTACTAAAATGCTAAATTTTCACGTGATATCAAATTAACTTATTCTTTTTTCATGTAACATGTCAAATACATATTTAATTATATTTAATAACCTAATTAATTGTACCTCATTTACACTATACACTACTTGCAAACATTCAATTGGCTAGTAACCCCAACACACATAAACATAAAGAAATGCTATGAAGCCAACCACCAATGATATAGTCAGTACCGGCTCTTGGGCCAGGCAGCCAGGCAAGAGCCTAGGGTCACAATTTTTTAGGGGCCTCCTCATATATATATATATATATATATATATATATATTATACTTTGTGTTCGGTTTTTTTTTATTATGTTGGTTGGGCCCAAATTCCATTTACATACATTTACACTTCTATCTATATTTTATTATATTGGCTGGACCAAATTCCATTTACACTTCCATTTACATATTAATTTCATTTCAAATAGTTTATCTTGCTTTATGTAAAAATAATAATTAATTATAAATAAACAAATAAGAACTGTCTGTTATTATAAGTGAGTTAATAATTAATTATAGATAAACAAATAAGAACTATTTGTTATTAATAAGTGAGTAAATGAAAATAAATTATATTAATATACATGTATAGTAATCATTAATTTTTTAGTTTAAAATGTTTTTATATTTTAATTTACTTATCTTTTTCATATTCATCGTATTTTTCGTATTTATTATTTGCAATGCTTGTTATTATTTGTTCAAATAAAAGAATAAAAATATAAAAATATGATTGCGGGCCACTCTTGAAAAAATTGTCTTGAACCTCTAAATTTCTAGAGACGGCCCTGGCTATAGTGCCACGTAGGCCAATGGTTATAGAGCCAACCTCCGTAGCATTTCTCCATAAACATATATTCAAGAGCACAATTCCAATTCTTTTAGCACAAACTAGTGTGTACCCCGTGCGATGCACGGGAACAATATTAAATTAACAATGTTATAAATAGACCTCGAGTTTGAGTCACTCAATGGCGGAAGTGGAAACTACTATTGATCCTATTTAAAAAGAGGAAGAAAAAATAATAATATAAATTAAAGAGGAGGATAAATAATACTTAATAGTTATAAATTAAAGATTCGGGGTCAAAAAATATAAAATTATTATGTATAAGAGAATATAAAAAAATTTGATTACACACCATTTCAAAATTGTTATTATACTTTTTTGTATGGTTAGCTTATAATATTTGTAAAAATATTAGTAATTAGACCGATGAAAATTAGCTTTTTAAAGTAGATAATGGATTTCTAGTAGTAATTATGAATTGATTTCTATTTTATTTTATTTTTTCTTTGTAAAGATAATGGATTTCTAGTAGTAATTATGAATTGGTTTCTATTTTATTTTATTTTTTCAAATATGTATAGATAGGAGATGAGATTTTTTAAACACATGAAACGTATGCAATGAGATTTTGTAACAGAAGAGATAAGCTCGTGTAGATTTATACTAAAAATATGAAAAAAAAAA